CTTTGTGCTTCCTGTCAATGACATCTGGAACATGATCTGGCTGCATTAATGTTTGTCCTTGTAGAACTGCCTCCCCCCGCCCCCTCCCCCCACACACACTCACACACACACACACCTTTATGAAGCCTGCATATCCCCCCTGGCCTGCCTTCCTGTCAGACTGGGATTACACAGAAAAGTGCTGACAGTGATTATGTTTTTAACGGGAGGAAAAAAAGAAGGAAAAACCAGCACAGAGGTGGAGAGTGACAGGAGGAGAGACTGGATGATGTGGGAGAGAGAGAGGGAGGGAAGAGGGAGAGAGGGGAAGAGAGAGGGAGGTTAATGCCGAGTGACAGAGAGATGAAAGTGAAAAAGAGGGAAAAGGCAGTGGAGATGATGAGGTAAAACAGCAGGATGAAGCCAAGACGACGGTGGCAGTTTATTATCAACAGCTGAAGGACCTAAACAACAGTGTTTAAAATAATGTCAGCAAACTCTTTTTTTCATCCAAAGTCAAGGATGTCAGTGGAATGACAGAGGGAGTCAGTCATCTCCACGTCTTCAACATCATCTCCACGCCCTCAACATCATCTCCACGACATCAACATCATCTCCATCCTCAACATCATCTCCATCCTCAACATCATCTCCATCATCAACATCATCACCATCATCTCCATCATCTACATCATCACCATCATCTCCATCCTCAACATCATCTCCACGCCCTCAACATCATCTCCATCCTCAACATCATCTCCATCCTCAACATCATCTCCATCATCTCCATCATCTCCATCCTCAACATCATCTCCATCATCACCATCATCTCCATCATCCCCATCATCAACATCATCTCCATCATCTCTTCAATCTCTTCACAGACTCCCATTAAACCTCGTCTTTCTGTTTTACTGGGTTTTGACTGTTGTGGTAAATCTCACTCACTGGAACATGATGAAAACACAGAACGGCCTCTGGACTTGACTTCATTACTGAAGATGTTCCTTTACTAATGTGAGGTTACATTTCTAATCTCTGTCGTAATCTTTGTTTACTTACATTTAACACGAGTTAACGTAATGAAAATAGAGCCATCGTTTAATAACTTCTTTTTTAGACTGAGAGAGAGAGGAGCGAGAGAGAGAGAGAGGAGAGAGAGAGCTAAGGTTTCCTCATTAGTACACTTGGGCTGAATAATGCAGCAAGGTGTATTGTTGTGGTCAATGGAGCAGGTGCTAATGTGACTGTGTCTGAGCTGGGAGGGCAGACACAGCATGACTTTAATGGATGTCACCATGGAAAACTGAAACTGGACCTGTGGACTCAGGTGACCGTGAATCACCGTGTCCATGCGTGTGTGTGTGTGTGTGTGTTTTCCCAGAGAATGAGCTGAGTGTGTTAGTCACTTCCTTCTTAGGACCTGCAGTCCTTGAAGGAGAACTGATCAACAAACCTGACAGATGATTAAGACAATCATCACAGTCAGTAAACCAACATCACGAGAGCTGAATGTTAGGTTTCATCTTCATGATTTAACTGTTGCTGAGAGTCGAAATATGAGTTAAATATAAATATAAATATAAATCACACTTTTTCATGTTTTAAGTCAGTTTTATTAGCTTGTATGCGTGAAAATAGGTCACACTTTTTCATGTTAGGTAATTTTAAGTCAGTTTTATTAGCTTGTATGCGTGCGCTTCCTTATTTATTTACTTATCTTTGTATTACTTTATTTACTAAATTACTGACCATATATGTACATTTTTACTGTCACATTTCAAATATATACAATATTTATTTGTATGCTTATATGAGTGGACAGTCAGTGTAATATTACTGCTGGATGTAATGATAAAAGATGAGAAATATATGGATGAAATTGAGAGCTAGAGGTGAAAGTTGTTACTAATCAATAACTTCTAGGTTGTTTTCTTTATTAATATTATTGAAATACCTATTGCTGCTGCTGCTGCTGCTGCTGCTGCTGCTGCTGCTGCTGCTGCTCTGTGGTCTGAGGCTGTAGTTGTTGTTGTAGTTGAGAGATGCTGTGAGACGACTGAGGTCAGACAGAGGGGCAGTCATCTGAGTTGTGGTGTAAATCACTTTTATGTCGTGACAGTGTGAGCAGGGCCGACACAAAGGAAGAAAAAAAAAAAAGAGCTGAGAGCTGCACCTCAGACTGTTGGAATAACGTGTCGCTGACACACAGGCCAAGAACGATCATCGTCTCAACACCGCACATAAACACACACACACAAACTGACAGCGTGTCAGTGCTGAATAAATACATCACACGTCTTCATGGGGTGATATATATTTTCTGTTTTGTGTTGGAACAGAGTATTGTGTATGATAACCCTAAATATACCAAATATATATATATATATATATATGTATCCATAATAATATATGTATATATATTTATATATGTATGTATATATACTGTATATATGACATATAGTGTGAGGCTTATAGCTGTCAGTAGTTAAGTTGGTTGAGAGTCAGTTGATGAGATAACGGTTAAGTTATTTATTTATTACATCACCTGGTTATTATTTACTTATATTTGTGGAAGAAAATGCTTTGGAGGAGGTGTATACAGTCGTAAAAATAATTACTACTCCTGTAAGTTGCTCCCCCTGCAGGTAAGGGATGGGAACAATGTCTTCTTAGTTTAATTCCAGTCTTTATGTTTTTCTTATGAACTGATTATTATTCTGTTTTCTTTAAGAAAACACGTCCGATTGTGTTCCTTGAATTTCTTGTTCAATATAATTCCAAACAAACGTCAAGGCGGTGCCGACTCTCACAGCCTTTAAGGTGGTGGGATGTGCCCCGCAGTTTCTATTTATGTTTCCTGTAACTTTCTTCCTCCCTTCCTGCCTTGTTCCCCCCTCCCTGCTGTCATCACACCGTCCCTGATGATATATGTCAGAGGTGGAGGGTCAGAGCAGTCTAAATACAGAGTCTCCTCCGACGGCGGCTGCTGATGTTAGCAGGAGAGTAACATTTGTCTGAGACACAGGCCTTCAACAAGACAACTAACCATGAAGTCACTCTGGATAATAATCTGGACTAGAACACGTTTAACTTCATTTAAAACTTCTTTCTTACTTTCTTTCTGCACTGTCTTATTTCCCATCTTTCCCAACTTTCTGTCCTCATTTTTTTCCCGCTTCTTCCTCACTTTTCTTTGTTTTTCTTTCCTTCTTTAATTTTCTGTTTCTGTTTCACGTTCTTCTTTCACTTACATCACTGTCTTTCTCTCCGTCCTTTCTGCACCTCGCTGTACTCACTGTCTTTGCCGGTACATAATAAGCAGAGAGCGATCAAAGGCGCGACACCAACAGCAGGGGGTGCTCTACCGTTGCTTGGTGTGATCTTAGCCGCGATCTTACCTGAAGCCCACATCAGTCACTGCAGTTCTTCTCAAAGTTTATCCAGAGCCTGGCTGCAGGTCCAGGGATCTGTGTGTGTATGTGTGTGTGTGTGTGTGTGTGTGTGTGTGTGTGTGTCAGCCTGTAACTAAGATGAGCTTCTCTTTGGTTGGAAGAAATACAAGTTCATGTGGACGACCCTCTGGGAGACATGGGCGAGGGGAGAAATGCTGAGGCAGGAGCCCGTTAACGGTGGAGCTCCATCAAACAGCAGGTGTCACTGTGTTCACCTTCTTCATCTTCCCGACCATCACATCACTTTTCCAAAATCCAGTTAACTCTCCTCTGGGTCTCTGCAGTTCCTGCTCCGTTTTTTTTTTTTCCATCATGTTGATGTAATCTCTCCCGGGAGCGGAGGGAACAAGTGTACGGGATTCCAGGGGCTAATTCTGCTCTGAGAACGGAGGGAACCTAATATGTGAGGACAACTGTGGAAGGAGTTAGTCTGTAGAAGAATGTAAGGAAAGGGAGGGGGTGAGACATGCCGTGTGTGTGTGTGTGTGGGGGGGGGGGGGGGGGCAGCAGGGGTCATTGGCTCGTAGCAGGTCAACAGAACGCAGTGTTTGTGTTTGTGTTGTTGGAGGTTGAAGTGTGAAGGATATGAAGTAGATGCTGTAACTGTGGAGCGAGGCAACGACAACCTCTCATTAGTTTAAGGAAATTATTCACAAACAGTTGCATTATGCAGAAAAAATATATATATTTAAAGATATATTTTACCATTTTCAGACTCCTCCTAAAAGCCAGTAACCATACTGTGGTGCGTTCAAGTGACCAGGGGCGCGGCTTTTGTCTTCATTGGGGAATTAGTTTGAAAAGTTTCTGCGAACTTTTAAAATTTTAAAAGGTCGTCTAATATTAAATGTGAAAGGGAGTAAAGACAGATGAATAAACCCATCACTGTATAGTATAATCCAACAGAAGACTTTCTGACTGGACGCCTGAATGTACGGCTCAGTGAGAAAGGTCACTCGAGACGAGGATCAGAGTCTCTGATGGATTTATAGACATTTTTCACTTTTGTTGTGCTGATAAAATGCTCCGCTGACAGGAGACATCAATCATCTCAGAGACTCATCTCAACTCCATCAACTGTTGGAAGTATTTACAACCCGCAGATCCATAAAACCAAACACCTACGGAACGATGAAGAGTTTGCACCTAAAGCCGTCACCACTCTGAACCGCAAACGTATAACATACGGTCGATTGTTTTTATTGTTCCAAACACAGACTCTATATCAGAAATGGACAGTGAGTGATGAGTAGGAAAACATTTTATGCTCTCAGCAAAAAAGTTTAGGGCTTGAGTATACACCCAGTTTATTCCCTTGGTTTCCCTTTCATAAATCATTAACAAAGCAACCGTAATCTGTAAGAGAGAAACAGAACGAAATATATAGTCAAATGTCATCAAAAAGATTATATTGAATTACATTAGATTATATCAGATTAAACTGCGTTGATTGCAGCAGCGAAAGGACAAGAGGTAGAAAAGACCAAAAAAATATATCTGTTAAAATAACAAGTAGAAACTATGAAAAAAAGATAATGTTAAAATGATATATTAGAAATCTTGAAGATATATTTACTCCAAAAATTCAATTTCAATTTCATGTTGAGTTGTTGACAAAATCATATAAAATCATATAAAATATGCCTAAATACACGAATTACAGGCAAAAACCATATAAAATATGCCTAAATACACAGAAGATAAATAAAGATAAATTGGTGAGATAATAAATATCCATTCGTTAAATTCGTGAGATAATAAATATCCATTCTTTGTAAATTAAATAATCCAAAATGTGTCTTAAACCTAATTTACAGGGATCAGATCCTAACGCTCATCAAGACCGTCATGGTAATGAGACACTAGGAGGTGCTGTAGATCAGATATCTCAGCTCTCAGAGAACTTACTTAGCCATCTGTGTGTTAGCATCTGTTTAATCCATATTTCTGGCAAACACAGACTGAAGCCACAGCAAAGTCTGGCTAAAATAATTAATATAAGATGAAATCTAACAGTGTCAAAGGTCGAACCTGGGCTCAAGAGTTTGGGATTGGTCAGATTGTTTGCCTGTAGACTCTCAACACTTTGTGTTGTTCAGCTGAAAGCATCAAAAACAAATGTCAAGATCCAAACCTCTGGTCTGACCTTCCCTCTAAAACTGCAGCTCTCAGCACATCATTTCACCTTGACTGGAGCGATGATGAAGGCAGCTGTGACTGTGAAGCAAACGTACAGTAGCAACAGCAGATTTACAAACTCGATATGGCCGGAATCCGGCGCTAGCATGTTGATTTGTTTCCATTTAAGGTGCAAATCCGGATCAAATGTCCTAAATGTGCTTGCATGTGTTGTTTCTTCGGGGTCAGACGGTATTAGGTGAAGGAGCCGGAGGACGGCGCGGAGGTGAGACTGACGCATAGCTCAATGTCGACCAAATGTCAGTCTAATTCTGATGTGCTTAGCTCTACACCTCCCGTCCTCACAAGTCCCCGTCCCAGTCCCAGTCCTGGAGTACGGCAGCGGGGGAATGAAGGGGTTAAGTGTGGACTGTCAGAGTGCGGTGACTCCTGGTGTGTGAAAAGTGGTGCCGTGGGAATGAGACTGTAAAACAGGTGTTTAGTGTGAGCAGTAACAGTAGACATGACACCGTCCTGTCCTCGGTGGACAGCGTTGTAGGACATCATCAGATCTAAATATGTCTAAATATTTAAATATACCCAGCTGGTTGATACGTACGTACACAACAGATGAAACGGATTCATGTTGACATTTCTTTCCTCCTTAATCTATCTATCAATCTATCTTTGGGGCAGATTGGAAGGAGAGTTCTGGAGCACATTTCCACACGGCTCTTCTCATTTAAATTGTATTTATTTTATTATTACGACTAAAAAACTAAGATTCGTGTGAGTTCTTTGCATGAACTGAGATTTGTATGGGACAATAAAACGATTGATGATCAACAGGACAGCTCTCATAAACAAAAACAAAAAAACATCATGTGATCTGGAAACAGATGGGATTTAAAGGTAGTTTTTCCAAACAATCAGTGTAAGAAGCTTTGACATATAGAAAAACAACAACTTTGATACCAGCTTTTCTCTCAAGCATAATGTTATCACAAATTATGTTAAAAAAAACAAACAACAGCTTTATATTCTGCTAGAAGAAGTACATTTTTATTCAGTTGTTTGTTTTATTTAAATCCGCAAAAAACAAACAAACAAAAACCAACCTAAAAACTAAAACTACCTGAAACTATGTAAAGAGTACTACACTGCAGTATTCTGTCTTCGGAGTACTTTCACCATGCAGTATTCTGTCTTCCAAACTGCAGTGGCTTATATCCAATTTTATTTGTCATCAGTACAAACGATATGTACAAACAGTACTGGCGTGTATTTGTTCCTTGACGATGTTCCAACCAAGTTCCAACAGACAGAAATAGAAGTCTTTATTTCTGTGCCAATAACACGATCAGATTTCAATATTCATCAAACACGTTATTTTTTCTTTGATATATTGTCTCATCAAATCAAAGTGTCCTGTTTTGGCTCATTTCCGTCCCAGTGAAATCTGCTCTTGTTCTTTCTCAACTACCTAATTTTTGTGGTTATTTTTTTAAACTTTCAGTTCTGCTTTTGAAGACTTGTGGTTCTTTATTATTTTTTAAAGTTATTATTATTTCCAATCGAAGTAAATATCTATGAGGTTCAAATGATGCTTAGTGGATAAAGAGGACGTTGATTTTTCCCCAGACACTTGATTAGCCTGATTAGCCTGATTAGCTACACTCACACACTCTTTTATTTATCAACCGTTTAACGTGTGAACAGGAACATTTTAGCCTCTTTCTGTACTTCGTCTGGGGGCAACAGTTGGTTTTAAACCGGACGTTTGGTTTTAAAACAAACGTTTAAATGTTTAGACACAAAGGTAAACACTAAACCTGTAGGTACGTTGCTCTCATTCGCTGCACTACTAGTCTACGGTTAGAATTGCAGCATCTGGTTGAAGGGTGACATCTACTGGCCAAGAGGTTGCATCACATCCAACGAGAGATTTCATTTACACGCTTGGGCCACGTAGGGGCACTATTGAGTAGTCAATTCAAATGATTGCGTTTGAAAGAGATAGGTATTATTTCTTGACTTAATTTTATATATAAAAAATAATAAGATTGAATATTAAACTGTGTGTTTCTGATCCTTATTATCTTTATTAGTGTCATATTTAATATTAATTAACCAATCTTTGAAATAAAATTGATATTTTTGGACATTTGGAGGTCATTTAAAGGTTTAATTGAACATTAGATAAATAGGACGCCTGTTTCATTATAGATGAGTCAGAATAAGTCACCATCTAAAAGGTCAAGGATCAAATTAAAAAAAGAATTTCCAAAATAAACAAAACAAAAAATAATAAATAAATAGTAGTATAATATAATATAATAATATAATAATATAATATAATATATAATAAAAGTCTGTTAAAGTTCTGTAGTAACCATTCTCAGCAAGAAGCAACAACTTAGTTTGACCTTTAACCTCTGCACATTGACCTCTAAGTGGGTGGCCTTCACATGGACACAGAGAGATAATCAAATGTTAAATGTTCTTTTTTGTTGTTGTTTTGACTCGTGAGATTAGATAGAAAACATATCTGTTTCAATCTGTAAGAACATTTTAATTTAAAAACTAATGAGAAAAAGAGAAACGATAGATAGAAACATTTTATTAGTAAAAACCAAAATAATAAAACCAAAGAAAATAAAACGTGAACAATCTCATATATTTTCCAGCTTCTCCCTGAGTTTGTGTTGGAATACTTTATCTTTTCAAGATCAAATATTTCTGCAAATGCTACGTTGTGCTACAAAATCTATGTCTGACTGGGATTAGAGTGCAAAATACAAAACCTACAAAACAAAAACAAAGACTGGACCTGAATGAAAGACAACATTCAACAAAAAAAACAACAACATTATTTTGCATGTCGAGGAAACGAAGGAAAACAAACAGAGACACCTCCACAGTAGAACCAAGTTTACCGTATTAAATAAGAGAATAAATTAAACATTCTTTAATTTATGCAGAAGATCTGATGTTGACAAGCTAAAAAAAAACAAAAATAACAAGTGCTCATATTACAATAACTGGAACAAACCAGCTCTGGAGTGTGTGTTTGTGTAAAACTGTTTTTTTTTGGTCATCATTGTGGAATGAAAATGTATGAGTCTCCTCCAGGCTCAGTCACTGTCACTGTGTCCACAGAGGAGTGTTGACAGCATCATCCAGTTTTTATTAACGATCTACCGACTCCTCAGTCTCTGTACATGGAGGTTATATGTCGCGGGGCCAAGTGCTGCGCGTGGTAGGAGTCATATGGTCCTTCCAACTGTCCGTCAAAGCCGCTCTGAGTCTGGTACAGACCGTGGTCCACAGAGGAGTAGTGGTGCTGGGCTGGGTACTGGGGTGAAGACCCCTGTTTGAGAGCCAGGGTGCTGTTGGTGCTGAGGGGGGGCGTGGGGGGCCCGTCGTAGGGTGGGGTTCCCACACCGCCGCCGGCGTAGTCATTAGGGGAGTGG